TATATATAACTAAGAACAAATGGGGCTGCAAAGTGATCCTCAAACTTCTAAGAAGAATTTCCTTCACATTTCTCTCTTTTGATTGCTTGCTCATGGTGAGCAGATGAGATAAGACACTTACTTGAGAATTTTGTCCTTGGGCACAGTGTAGGGTTGGATTTCCAGTGGAAGCTGCTCCTTGTTCTCCTGTGCAATAGCCTTGAGAAACACACACAAAGGACAGTGAAGACTTAACAGCATCTTCTATTAGTGGGACTTTCTGAGGAATTAATGTTTCATTTAAAATAACTTCTCACATCAACACATGAAATTATGCATCCAAGTGAAACCCAAACTGTCTTATTTTAATGTTTTAACCAATGCTTTCTCTTTACAGCAAAATCTTAAGTCCACTTTTCTTTGGGGGGGACACACAAAACAACACATTTATAGGTCAAAGGACATAGCATAGGAAATAAGACATTGGGATTTTGACATTTAGTTTGTGTGTGTCTGAGGATGTGTAGTGTGGATGTATTCAACTCTATGCAGTCTGGTATTCAGTCTATACTGTATACTGTATTAAAAAAAGTCAGACTTTTTCAGAATAAAGCATTAAATGATAGTTTCTTTGAATGGTCATTATCTCCAGGGAGCTTCACATTCTTGTGAGCTTCCCTAAAATCCACCGGCGCTATTGTAAAAGTGGATTTTTTTTTTTTTTTTTGACTGCGCCTGGTTTTGTGGATATATTTTCCCTCCTGCTGCTGTACTGTGACCAGAGGTTGTGGAGAAAAACACAAGCCCTGGGGTTACTGCATGTCCAGGAAGGTTCCTGTGCAGGGATTCGCTGTTTTACCTGATTAGGTCTAACCTACAATCAGCCATCCAGTGAAGTCCCCTGCAGTGGTTAGTGTTCAACACATCAATGCTGGATTCCCCCGGAGCACAGTACCTGTTTGTTTTGACTGTTTGAGGCTGCATGTTATGTGTTTCTGGTTAACAAGCAAATTAACAATCCATGATGTTATTGTTAGTGCTACGCTACCTGTTGGGATTACTTTCACTACTTTGGGATTGTATGTGGTCCTGTTGGGGAAGACGCAGCAATCACCGGCTGGATTTACTGATGTTGGAGCTACTTGAAACAGAGTGATGTTTCAGTGGGACTTAATGGTAAGGTTAAAAAAAAAAAAACCCATATGTTTCATGCCCGTGTTAGGGTTGTTCTATCATAAACAAACAGACTAAATAGACAGAGGCCAATTTTATTTATATAAGGATCTCAGGAATTCCAGCCCTGTTAATCAGTCTCTGTCATGTGTTGAACTTGCCAGACAGAGCCTCTTTCAAGGACCCCACTGGCCATGTATTAGAACTGGATTGGACAAGCTCACAGTTCATGTGCACAGGAGCAAATGCAGGCACAGTCCTGTGAACCTCTGGGGCCTCTGTAGAAGACTCATTTGTTGAATAAAAATACAGGTGATTTTTGTCTTCAATATAATTTATGTGTGCCTGTGTAGGAGTAGTCGAATCTGATGCCTTTAATGCAGGGGGATATCTACAAAACCACATCTGGCAACACTCCGAGTACTTCCTCTACGTTAGTTTTCTCAGTATAAAACGGAGCTCATACCAGCAACATGTATATAGTATAGTTGGATTGGTTTCATTCCCTCACATTCTTTTGGTATTCAAACAATATTGTGAACTAGGTCACATGACAGTCTGAACCTCACAGTCTTGTTTGTGACGATAAATGTCTGGCCAGAGGTCTTATGTAAAATACCTGGAGGCTACAACTCTGCAAATAATGCTGATGTCTTCATCCCCGGCTTACTGGTGACTCTCTTTTATTCACTGCCTGAATTACTCCTTGTTCACTGCTAGATTTTGTCCATTACCATACCACCACACATGCCAGTAGGGGTGGGAATCTCTCTTTTTTTTTATTATTGAAACAAAGTAACACATTAACAAAACAGGACCAAACATGGGAGACAAGACAGCAGATACATGACATTACAAAAAGATAGTGTTTCACAAGACTGTAGTGTGAGGATGTGAAGTGTGGGTATTTCTAACTTATGCAATCTATGAAATGCAAGAAAAGAGAAAAGGAGGGGTGGGGGAAATAAATAAATAAATAAAAAATTACCAATAATAATAACAGTGGGGGTGGGAATCTCTGGTAAACTCAGGATTCGATTCCAATTCTTGCTGTCACAATTCCATTCAGAACCATTTTAAATTAAAAATGGATAAATAATTGAAAAATATAAATAAAAAAAGAAATGAAAAGAAGGGCACTATATTTTGGCTCTTACTCTAGTTTACTGTGTGTCATACAGCTGATTTCTGTCCTGTGCCCACCGAGCTGATAATGAAGCTTAACAGACAGTTCTGATGAGCATCAAAACCAAGTACTTAACTGCTACCGAGCAATATGTAGCATCCACAAGTCCAAAGCAGACATTTTGTAGAGATGTTTTTTTCCTGAGGAACTCAGAATATTCATAACTAATTCATTATTCCCTCTCCCACCTGGAAAATAAAGACTCCTACATCAAGATACTCTTTATTGACTACTGCTACGCTTTCAACACGGTCATCCCCCACAAACTGTCTACACCCCACCCTCTGCGACTGGCTCTTAGATTTTGTGTCACCTCCCACAAAGACAACATTATCCTAAAGTTTGTGGATGACACCGCAGTGATAGGTCGCATCATTGGTGGGGACGAAGCAGCCTACAGGAGGGAGGTGGCCGGTCTGGTGTCATGGTGCAAGGACAATAATCTCACCCTTAACATGGACAAGACGAAGGAGATGATAGTGGACATGAGGGAGGAGAGGAGATCTCATCAGCCACTGTTCATCCGGGGGCTCGAAGTGAAGAGGGTGAGCAGCTTCAAATACCTGGGCGTTCACATCAGTGAGGACCTCACTTGGACACTTAACACCACACAGCTGGTCAAGAAGGCCCAATGGCGGCTGTACTTCCTGAGGAGGCTGAGGAGGTTTGGCATGTCAACCAAGGATCCTTTGCAACCTCTACAGCTGCATCATTGAGAGCATCTTGACCAGCTGCATCACCGTGTGGTATGGCATTACTACTGCTATGGACCACAAGCGCCTGCAGAGAGTGGTAAAGACTGCGGAGAAGATCACCAGGACTCCACTTCCCTGTCTGCAGAGTCCGCAGGAGGGTTGCCTCGATCCTCAAGGACCCCACCCATCGCCAGCATGGACTGTTCACAACTCTACCCTCAGGCCGGAGGTACAGAAGTGTGAAATGCAGGACTTCTGGATTAAAGAACTCTTTCTTTCCCACTGCCATTAGATTCCTAAACAGTTGACAGGAGTTTATAATCATGGACTCTCTCACTTAACTGTTTACATTTTCAGTTTGTACATGTATAATTGCATACTCATTGCTGACTGTTGGACATACAGCTGATGTTGTTTATATTTCTAGTATATTTTTCACATTTTTTTAAAATTGCCTTTATTTTGCATTATTAATCTATTTTATACTTAAGACTTTATATTGTTTGGCATTCGTTGTGGCTTGCACAGAACTTCCTTCACTCCAAATTCAAACACTCCAAAGAATGCTCACATCACCCCAGTTCTTCAGTTCCTTCACTGGCTTCCGGTACAGTTTAGAATAGATTTTAAAATTTTACCGTTTGTGTTCAAGGCCATTAATGGTCTTGCGCCAGTCTATTTGACCGATCTTTTAATCATTTATACCCCGGTCAGAGCGCTGCGTTCCTCTGAGCATGTGTCTCTGGTTGTCCCGCAGGCAAGGTATAAAAAGTGGGGAGATCGTTCTTTCGTCGTGTATGCCCCTAAGCTCTGGAGCGCCCTGCCCCTGAGGTTCGATCTATAACGAAGTTAATGGTTTTTAAGTCTAAATTAAAGGCACATTTATTCAGACTGGCATGTGGCATCTAATATTTAGCAGCGATGCTATATAGGCCCTATAGGCCTTCCTGATTTTATAATTCGTAATCTTACTCTCTGTATTTTCACTCATTTGTATTCTACAGGAGTGTTATAGTTCTTACAGATCGTTGTTTTAAATTTGTGCAATGTTAACTTGTTTATGTATTTTGGCATGCTCTGTTTTATGTTTTACTGTGAAGCACTTTGAGCTCCCTTCAGTGTTGTAAAGCGCTATATAAACAAATAAATTATTATTATAGCAGAGGAAGAATTTCATTGTACAGGGAAACCCGTTTGTTGTGCATATGACAATAAACACTTTGAACTTGAACTTAATAAATTAACCTTGATTCCAGGCACTGCAAAGCAGGAGAGAGACTCAGTTGGACCCCAGCTCGACTCTGGCACAAAAAAGGCTTCAAACCAGAACTTCTGGCCATGTGAGCCCTGCCAACAGCTTAGTACACCCTGGCAGACCGATGTCTCATGAAAACCGTAGTTATTACCAAATTAAAGTCTCCAGCCTATCAAGACTGAGTTACTGTATTTTTCTCTCCGGAAGAACAAAGCGGAGCGCTCAGTTGTGCTGTTGTTAACGTTATGTCTGCAGCAGTGGAGAACAGCGTCTGCGCTGCAGCGTTACTACTAAAGAAAGCCATCATTATCCAAAACAGACACATAAAAACGGTGTTTTCTTTGTCCTACCAGTTTGAATGAAGTGTGGCACTGTGTCGCTGAGCTGTCTGGAGGTCAGTAAGAGGTCCTGCATTTCACACTTCTGAACTTCCGTCCAGAGGGCAGAGAAGTGAACAGTCCATGCTGGGGGTGGGTTGGATCTTTGAGGATGGAGGCAGCTTTCCTGCGCACCCTGCGGTGGTAAATGCTCTGCAGAGAGGGCAGTGGAGTCCTGGTGATCTCCGCAGTCTTTACCACTCTATGCAGGTGCTTGTGGTCCATAGCAGAAGTGCTGCCATACCAGACAGTGATGCAGCTGGTCCAGATGCTCTTAATGAACTGTAGAAGTTGCTGAGGATCCTAGGTGACATGCCAAACCTCCTCAGCCTCCTCAGGAGGTACAGCCACCGTCTGGCCTTCTTGACCAGCTGTATGGTGTTAAGTGTCCAAGTGAGGTCCTCACTGATGTGGACGCCCAGGTATTTGAAGCTGCTCGCCCTCTCCACTTCGAGCCCCCGGATGAACAATGGCCAGTGAGATCTCCTCTCCTTCCTCATGTCCACTATCATCTCCTTCATATTGTCCGTGTTGAGGCTGAGATTATTGTCCTTGCACCGTGACACCAGACCGGCCACCTCCCTCCTGTAGGCTGCTTCGTCCCCGCCAGTGATGCGACCTATCACTGTGGTGTCGTCTGTGAACTTTAGGATGATGTTGTCTTTGTGGGAGGTGACACAGTCGTGGGTGAACAGGGTGTAGAGGATATTCACATAGTTCTCCAAACTTGTTTTTCAAAACTCATTATCAAGCAAATACACACGTAAATGAATTCCTTATCTGAAGATGAACTAACGTTACAACTATAGATGTACAACACAACTCTTGTATGTGCATGCTGTTTGTGAGCAACACTGGCTTCACGGTTGAGTTCCATCTTTTTCGTTCTGTCAACATTGTGACAATTTTTTATGAATTTTTTTTTTTTTTAGCATTGGTGAATCAATTTTTTTCCTCTCACTTCAGCATGGCAGTGGAACAAGTGAAGTGTTGTGTGTGATGAATCAGGCTGACAGTCCTCACCTCAAAGAATGAGTCTGGGGGTTCGGTGGTGGCACTGCTGACGCCTTCTAGATCAGCAGGTATCCATGGTAACAGACGGCATTTCCTCACCAGGGTGTTTGCCTCTCCATATGTATAATCACGGGTTACTTCATCTGTGGAAGTAATAAAATGCACAGCTCTGCTCAGTGCTTTCCAGTTCCCTACTCTGTCTGTGGCTCTCAGCTTCAAGCACACTAGTTCTTACTGAAGAGTGAAAACTTTTAAATCAAAAAGGAAATTGTGAATTTGTTGGGGACTATTTTCAGTGGTGCATTAATCCATATTTGGTGCTCTAGTGAGTTTTTGTGGCAGCAAGATGGTATATGTGGGACTGAGTCAAAATAAACTACAGCGTGTGTGTATTTTCATGGTGATGAAGGAACATCTGACCCAGTGCAAGTGTGGCTCGCTGATGTGTCTGTAATAGTTTTTCAGACACCAATGGAGCTCTGTGGTACAGTGGAAGAAGATATATCAGGCTGTGGGGAAAACACAAAAAAAATCACCAGACTTTCTTTCTTTAAGGTTTTTCTTCCTGAGGCCACTGAGAAGGAAGAAGTAATGCTGGCCTTCGGTGACTGAATTAACCTTACAGGAAGAGCTACAGGAAGCCAGAAGACAAACTGTCTCTTTGCAAACAGAAGTCTCTAAAGAACAACAAGAGTATATCAAAGAATATTAGAATTCCCAAAACTCAAGGAAGCAGAGAATGAGGAAATGACAGGAAAGCAGGTAAAGGAGGTGAAAGTGTCGCCTGATCCAGAAGAGAATGCACCCTTGATGGAAAACACCACAATAGAGGAAGAAGAGCGCACAGAGGAGCTGATGGTAAATTTGTATTCTCCTATCACACTCGGACCAATGGTAGAATAATTATTAAACCTCTGGGAAGAGGAAAAGGAAGAAATTGAGGAGAATGAAGATTATGTATTGATGTACGAGTGGATGGATGAACTGCACCCTGAGGAGGAAGAGGAAAACAGCAAGAGGGAATGGAAAAGGGAGAAATTAATTAAGTGATAACTAAAGGCATAAAGTAGGAAGCTGAAGCAATCAACAAGTAAGGATTATTATGAACATAACTTGCTTAAAATGTTTTGCTTAATGAATAGTAATGAAATGTTTGACAAAGTATAAGAGTGATTTTATTTCAAGAATGCCTTTGATCTGATAATTATAAAATGTAATGGTGTTCATGTAATTAGACTGAACTGTTCAAGTGAGCAGTAGAAGCTGAGAAAGAGGAGTGGGGAAAACAGTGAGTCATGGTGACAGTTGGTGGTTACAGGCACAGCCCGGGTGTGGGCCGGGAGTGAACCAAGAGGTAATACAATAGACCCAACTGTCTGAATGCCAGAGACAGTGACAGTTGATAAAATGGGGACGTCTGATTGGGGAAGAGAAGGCAGCCTAACTCACAGAAACCCTTTAAAAACCACAATTAAAAGAGGGACAGAGAGACATTCAGGAATTGCTGCCAGATGCTCTGCTTATTTTCTGAGGTCTTGAAGACTGGAGCAGCTCAGGGAAGCAAGCCAGGAAGACATCAACAGCAACTTCATATCCCCTCATTCCCTTTCAAAGGAACAAAAGAAAGATACAGAGCCACTGCCACAAGGGGGATGCAATGATGGATACCTGGACTGTTCGGCAAAATTCCATAATTCAGCAAGAGGATGCAAGAGTCCTTGCCTAGAGGGAAATGGCATTGGAATTGCAATTCTCAACAAAATCTAACCACCAGAAGCTTGAACCAACCAGTGACTGGTGATCAGGGAGAGATTCTTTGACTTTTATTCAGTAATGTGAGAGCCCATTGTGAGGATTTTATTAGAGGAGAGAGCTTAAACTAATGATTAGAAATAGCTTTTGTTGATCTTCAGAGCTTGGTTATAAAAGTAAAGTAGTGCTGACTAATTATTAAAAACCAAATTTCTAACGATTCTAAAATAAAATTGTATTAAAAGATACTCTACATAAATCAGTCGATTATCTACTTATTCCAAGTTATATTTTATGAAGTGAGTGTTAACCAGTGTCAGCTAAACACTGTAAATAAAAATCCTGGTCTCACATGGCCAATGTCACGGGTTTTATGGGTTATTTCAGACCAAACTAAACACTTCCTCAAAGAGCCAAAGTATACTGGCTCCTAAAAGTTTCCCAGTATTGTAACATCTGAAGGTATAAGGAAGTAGCTGCCTATCACTGCAGATTGATCTTAATTTAGGAGGATTTGGGTCTTGCCTTGAATTGATAACATGAAAGTGGGAGGTCTGCGGGGTAGCCTGGTTTCAGGTTCATGGTAGTCAATTACTGAGTGAGTATTTGCACCTAAAAACCTCGAGCAGCGTTTGAAACTTTAATTCCTAAGTCCAGGGGTTAGCAAATCATGGCCTTCAGACACTTTCTCTGTTTTTTGTGTAGTTGTGCATTCACCTCCCTCCTGCAGGTCATGCAGAGGCCACAGGACAGTGTAGGCCAACTGGCCCTGTATGTAGAAGAAGGGAGCCATGCCACAGCTGGGGTGGTCAGAGTGCTGCACCTGGGAGCCAAACTCATCCATGATGTACCACACAGGAGCCTTCTCCTCCGCTGTCTGCACATGAAAACAAAAAGTGACGACTGATGTGGAGGATGACAAAAAGATGACTGACACTATGCCCATGTCTACAGACTTGTGGTTTAATCTGTGCAAGTACTCCTTCCTATTTTGGCCTTTTTATGTTGCATTACATTCATTTATCAGACTTCGAGAGTAATTGTTCCCGTGAGAAAGTAGCTTATTAGATACAAATGCTGGCACGGTACTGGTGCCACTTACAAGGTGAAACGTGTACTAAAGAATCATGCAAGTATCTTTTAACTATGAATTAAAGTAATTTATTTGTTTTAATCATTTCTTAAAAAAAAAAAAAGGCTAGAGGGAGATGGAAATAATTGTGTTAAGAAGGAGGGACTTGAGCCAATTATCTGACATCTTTATGACACAGCTGTCTTTTTCAAAGTACTTTTGGACACAGTGTTGGAGAGGGTCTTAGACCTATTTCCTGGTCCAGGCTGAGACTGTTTCTTCTGTCAAAAGCATAGATCGAGTTCTAAATGTGTCCATAAGAAATGTTTGTATGAACAAGAAAATTGAACTTCTTGCAGAGAACAATGATAAATCTAATTTGTTCTATATTTATCTGCTTGGGCATGTACAGACATAAAGGACAAATATTATTGTCTTTTACATAAAGACATGCTTCCAGAATGCTAAATATGGACACCCACGGCCCTTTGAAAGTCCACTGTAATGTGTAGAGCTGTTGTGGACAAAAGTTGCATTAAAGCATCGTCAGAGCAGACGTGTGAGAAAGCGTGATATCATTCACCACACTGATGACACAGTCTAATTGTGTGGATGCTGTAAAGCATCCACACTATGCTCTCCTGTTCTTTATTTATTATTATTATTATTCTGGGATCTTCCCCCTTTTTTGGCACTTAAGTCCAGCATACTTTCAGCTATACAGGCCATTGAGGTCTTGATCTGTTCAACTCTTCAAGGACATTCCTGCATGTACTCAAAAACTTGTTGCATCATTCCCAAAAAGACTCATGGCTGTATTAGCTCAAAAGGGTGCTTCTACTAAATACTGAGCAAAGGGTCTGAATACTTATGACCATGTGATATTTCAGTTTTTCTTTTTTAATAAATCTGCAAAAATGTCAAAAATTCTGTGTTTTTCTGTCAATATGGGGTGCTGTGTGTACATTAATGAGGAAAAAAATGAACTTAAATGATTTTAGCATATGGCTGCAATATAACATTCATTCTACTTCGTATTATCAGAGCTCTTGGGACTTGTCATCTCACAGAGCCCAGCGCTGTAATAACTCTGCATTTAACCAGAAGAAAATAAATCTACGTAAAGCTGATTCTTGTTTCCTGAGTGTTACTTCTTGGGGCCTTCAGATAAAAGAACCAGGTGAATCTAAAAGACAAATACACAGACAATATCACGACAAGAGTTTCACAGGTTATTCACTTTATGTGGTGGTGAAATTAAAGAAAGCACAAAACTGTGCATACACATGGTTAATAAATGAGGCCCCAGGTCTAAACCACTACACTTACACTTGTCAGACCTGGACTAGAATAATCTAAAGAAGCCGTGTTAAACACAGTTCCAGGTTTGTGATTAAATTCTGTATAGTTTCCCAGCTGTGTTCAAAGACAGAAAAAAGCACATGCTCTTTTTTAACATTTAGAAAACTGTGACTATGCCTGGTTCTGTTTTATAAATCTCAGTCATTGTAGAAAAGTGAGCACACACTCCATCCCCACTGCCACTTCCACATTTCACCATAAATAGATGTAGAAATGCCCTTAAAACATCCATGTGCGTATCATTACCTCTGCCTGTTTCACTACTCATTAGACCTGTCATTGGGTAAAACAGCAAATACGTTGTAACAATAGTGTCTGAGAGGGAGGATGAGGTTTCCTAATATACGTACCCCCTGAGAGAGCTGGTAAGTCTGGTTGTACTTCCACATGCGCTCCATCACCAGTTCCACTGTGTCTGGGTCAGGGGCCTCGCCGTGGAAGTCCACCCCCATGAGGGTGGCCATTCTGGGCAGCAGGCCTGGGATCTGCTCCAGCTGCTGACGGGCGTGATCCACACGGTATGTCCAGGCATGATCCACAAGGAAAATACTGCAAGAAGAAAGATGCTCAGATATTCATTGTAGAGACTCCCTTTAAAGAGCATAGTTTTATCCATTTATCATCATCCGCTTATCATGGTGGCAGCAAGTTCAGCAAGGTAGTCCAGACATCCCACTCCCTGGCAACGTATTCCAGCTCCTCTGGCAGGATTCGAAGGCGTTCCCAGGCCAGATGAGATATACTGTATAATCTCTCCAGCATGTTTTGGGTCTGCCCCAGGGTCTCCTACCAGTTGGATGTGCCTGGAAGACCTCCAAAGGGAGGCGCCCTGGAGGTATCCTGATAAGATGCCAGAACCACCTCACCTGGCTCCTTTCGATGTGAAGGAGCAGAGGTTCTACTCTGAGCCCCTTCTGGATGTCTGAACTATAGTTTTATTGAAATCAATAAAAGTTTGCTAAGGTTTTTTTGTGTGGGTGTTGGGGGGGGGCAAAGTAGATGAGGTTTTGTTGTTTTTAATAGAGCTTGCCTTTTTTTTTTAAGATTGAATAATTTGAGCATGTTACCTGTGGGGTGTCTGATGACAAAACCAAACCAAACTATTAGGTTAGTTTTTTGTCTTGTTTAATTTCAGATTCTTGAAAATGCACTATTGCTGCAGGGGGACATCTCAAATGCACAACCAGTTGAAAACAAAATAACTTTTGTCTGTGCCAAAAGGAAATAAAAAGTTTTTTAAAAAGATCTTCCACAGCTTTTGGGGGGCAGGAACATTAAAAGGGTCAAATGTGTGGTAACATTGTCTAACTGTGCTACAAACAGCCATGGCCTTGACCTCTTACTGACTCCACTTGAAGAGGTAGTGAATTGCCTCAGCAGCAGCAACTCTGTGTGCTGATGTAATGTAAGTTAAGAGTGGGGTGGCAGATTTATGGCAGAATTACTGTTTATTCATATCTTAAGAGAACACCATGTCTGTTTAGTTTTCAGTTAATCTGCTGTAAGTGCAGACTAATGGGATGAATCTGGAGATGGGCATAAAAAAAAACATTCAAAAAATGTAAAAGACTGTGGTAGGAAAATGATCAGTGTAATCTAGACTATTTCAAATCTCAAAAGACCTTCACTTTCTTAACACTTATTTTATGCTACTTAGCTTCTAGTTGGTTGACCCTGTAGTGGTTAAAAATAAACCAGATTCCAGAAGAAATATGTAATAGAACAGTATGTAGCTCATATAGATCTTATTTGGTATTAGCTTGTGTAAGGAAGAGCTGAGTGATTATGGGTTTATTAAGTTCATGTGAGGTGGACAATGGGCTTATGTAAGTGGTTATATAGTTAATACTTAGAATCCTAGTTAGATCCTAAGTATGGTCAGAGATGTTCCTTGGTGAGGGCCTCTGCCAGAACATTGGGAGTCAACCTCCCAGGAAGGCTGTAGAGGGTTCCCAGAATGGAGTGAGAAGGGGGGCCGATAGACGTCAAGACGGACAGAGTCCAGCTGTTGGGAAGTGGCTATGGAGCTGATAAAAAGGAGTGAGCCTGAGGAGAGAGAAGATGACCATGCTGCAGTAAACAGTAGACGAGGTACTTTTTGGGGACCCAGCCGGCTGGGGAAGACGCTGACTGACTCAGGACAGACAACAACTGATTTGACTGACTGGTGCTCTGACAATCTTTAGGTTTTATCTATCACAGTGCAGGAGGAGAGTCTCTGTTCTCTGATCTCTGTTCCCTAACTACAAGATTATCTGTTTAAATACTACTCTATTGAGAATAACTGTAATATTAAATGATCCTTTGAATTGTAATGGTTTGTCTGAATTAATTTAGTCGTTATCACACTCTTGCCACGACAACCCAGAATGGCTTTGGCATTGTTGTTGCTCTAGGTAACAGATGCTAACTGGCTACATCTTGTAGCAGTTGTTAAGTCTGCTATGTTTAGAAGCGGTGAGGAATGTGGATGCTGTTACGCCACCATCATAAAAAATAAGAGCACAGAAGAAAAATGTGACATTATGAAATATGAAAAAAGTGTTAGAGAAAATATCATTATGAAACAAAACCATTTTTGAAAAGGGGTATTTTTAAATAGAGATATATGTAATGAAAAATAATATAAGATAGTTATTATAAAAATTAAAGCTGAAATAACACTATATTAAATTTAGCTTTAAAAATGTCAATTCATACATTTGTGTATGACTATTCTATCATATTAGAATGAATAGTTAAGATTATATTTCAGAATACATAAGTTCACATATTGCATGTCACAGATATGTTTATGAAGTTACTACTCACCCAATTATATGTTCACTAAAATGACGAGAAACTGTATGAGTTACTGTATGAATATTGAAAGACACTGTGTGATATTGCAGGCCCTTGAGATTGAAAGTCTGGTGCACTGAGTAGCTTTCCAAGGTCTCATCATCCCACAGGATTCCATTAGATTTGTTGCCTTTTCTCCACAAGAGCTCATTATTCCCTCTGAGCTTTGAAGCCAGGGGAGTTAGGGTTTGATAAGATACTAAGATTCACACCAAGGTTATAATCAGATTTTGGCCTAGAAGAAACAGTTGCCTGGTAAAATAGCTATTTTCATACACACACACAGGAAGTGTCAGATCTTCCTCCCTCTCTAGGAAAACTGTCTTTCCACATTGGAGCAGGAGGGACCTGGATGGATGGACCAATGGGACAGCACGAGAGGCACCAGATTAAGCTACTTTTTCAAAATTGTATAAGAAATTGGGTTCCAGGAGGGTAGGCAGGCGTTCCCCTTGTCCTGAAGACAAGCTGAACGGTTTTGCTGTTTAGGGTCAGGGCTTCAGATAGAGACGGAACCCAGAGCTCTGTAAATTGCTTTATTCGATTGTCTATTCAATTGTGATAATTGAATGTTTAAAAGTGATATTTGACTCCGATCATTCTTCATAAAAGAACACGCTGCAACACAAATCCCATAACATACTTTTAGTACGTCTGTCAAGTGGAATTGTTGGGCCTCTGCCGCCCTCACCTGGTCAGCTCAGAGGTTTGCAGCCCACTCTCCCGGGTCACAACCACTTTACAGCGGATCACAGCTGCAGGATTGTCCTTCTGTTTCTCTTCAGTGTCTCCGTTTCCCCCCTGCTCATTCTCGTCGTCTTCTTCTTGAAATTGCATGATTCCAAAAACTTCCCCAGCATCATAAATCTGTGACATATGTAGTGATTAAAACAAACAGTATATGTTTAGCAGTTAATTCTTTGTTAACATGTGCTATGGTATATATTGCATATAATACTGTATATTAGAATAGACTTCCAGTGTTAGTTGAGGAAAATGCTTATGTAACAAGGAAAGGTCAGCGACCTTTTGTTCTCTCTCTGTGCTGTTCCAAGGGGAAATCAGTTGAGAGCTGAGGTAATGAAGGAAGAACGCCAGGAAGAGAGAGATGGAAATAAAAAGTAGCAGGAGGGTTGATCAGGCGCTTTTTGCGTGAAGACCCGGGGGAGAAGATGTACTCCAGACTACCTGACTTCCTCTGTAGAGTGACAGACTAAAAACTAACAAGGCGATCCTGTCTCCTGTCCTCAATCATAGTTCAATAATATTGTTCAATAAATGATTCTTGGCACTGCAGTCATTTTCTCACACAAACACAATCAGCATATTCTCTTGTAACTTCACCAAAAAAATGTCAATGTTAGGTTTGCTTGCCTTTTATCACTGGCACACGCCACTCATGAAGCCATTTAACACTATTAATACATTATTAGTTCCACTTTTCGACCCGGCATGCATCCGATAATCCAAACAGCATTTATTTTAATAAGATTCCACACTTGAAAATTCTAGTGATTCTCTGAATTTGCTAAGCAAATACCTCTACCCCAAGTGGCATGTGAAATATGATAGAAATGTGATTAAAACAGCGGGTTAAATGTCGCTTATTGCTTGCGGAATTTACCACAGGAGCAAACACACCCCTTATGTTTTTTGCTATGCTCAATCCGACGTGCAAATAACAAAAGAGAATTAAAATCATTAGCTTTTTATGCGGGTTTGGCAGAACCAAGACTTAAATGTTTTAGCAGGCAATATTCGATGATGAAACGCAGAATAAAATTATAATATAATATAATAAAGTAACTTTATAAAGTATAGTTGTACAACGTTAAATTACGTTATTTGCCCTAACCTGTTTTAGATAAGCTTATGTGCATCCCAAAATGTGGAAGAAGAAGATATTTAACAAAGTGTATTTCAGTGTTGAACCAGTTTATCTCGCCGCTGGATGTATTCTACCTTGAATGTTTCACTTACTATCATAACTGAGCGTGTGCGTTAGAGTTATTGTTATCCTAGTTAGCAGAGGACAGACCTCGTTTGTGATTTTGTGATGCAGGCTCCTCCAATACATCTGGGGAATTCCTGAGGACCGCAGGGCCCCGGCGTGTAGCGCCTCGAAGGCTCGGAACTCCTCGTCCTCGTCCCCATTCATAACTATTTGGTCTGTTGCCATTACAACTACAACAAACTATCACTCACGTGGAAGATCCCTGAGTAAACGCGGAAAAAAGAACATGACAGCTGACCTAGCGGTGCATTGTGGGAGTTTTTGTATCAACTTTGATGATGTCAGTGAACACGTGATCAGTATGGAGCATTTCTGTTTAAGTATAGCGCAATTATTTCAGCCTACATTGAGGAAACAATGTGACAGTGCTAAAAAGTAGCTAGGTACAAAATTTTGCTCAGGTACAGTGTTGAAGTACAATTATGAGATGCTTTAGTATTTGAGTTACTTTACAGAAAACTAATATAATAAAAAACATATAATAAACAAATACATTGTGTATTAAGAGTTTAGTGATGATACTGAAATTCACAACACTGCCATGCAGTATGTAGTCATTGAAATTAGTCCCCCATTATTAGCTGATGCTAATACTTATGTATTTGTGCGTGTTATTTATTTATCTACTTCATATTTCATTTGTATTGTGTGGCATTCATGTAGACAGCAAAGTAAGAATTTCATTGTACAGGGAAACACGTTTCCTAACTGTGCATATGACAAATAAACACTTCGACTTTGACTTATGACAAAACTATGAATGATGGATGCTTATTTGTACAAGAGTATTTCTACTATATTTCAGAGGAATATTAGCATTTCTCACTGCACTACTTGCTGATTCTTGTAGTCACTCTGTAGATAAATCATGCAGCAGGCACTGCAGAAACCTTCATCAAAATCCATTTTGTCCATCATCATAACTGGAGGAGCTACTAATGGACACTGGTGAGAATTTCATTGTTAGGGGTATTTGATGTTTGAATCTGCTGTAGTAACCACCACTGACACTTCCTAGAAGTCATTTCTCATTCACTGCTTGAAATGAATATTTTTTGTTGATTTACATGCAGTTTTCTCTTGTTCATTAAGCTGCATACAAAACCTAAAAAGTGTCATAACCACATTCAGTGGTGTCAAATTACATTTTGATCTACAGTACATCAACCTATTCCTAGACTACAACTGTACATTTTTAGTCCTATATATGTATTCAAAATAAACAATCAATCAATCAATCAATAGTTAGTATGGTGACATATTTTTATTCAAATAAATAGAACAAAGACAAGCTACATCCAAATATAGCATTAAAATTATTATATAAACTTCATAAACACTCCCACAAAGCTTATTGTTGGCAAGCCTTCAAAAGAGGAAATAATGTTATTTAAATAACATATGAAAAATGTAAGACATTGAGGACAAAAAGTTTCATCCCAAAGGGACATCCAGGGGGCATCCTAAACAGGTGCCTGAGCCACCTCAACTGGTTCCGCTCAACGTGGAGGAGCAGTGGCTCTACTCTGAGCTCCTCACGGGTGACTGAGCTCCGCACCCTATCCCTAAGGGTGCGCCCAGCCACTCTTCGGAGGAAACTCATTTCTGCCGCTTGTATCCACGATCTCATTCTTTCGGTCATGATCCAAAGTTCATGGCCATAGGTGAAGGTAGGAATGTAGATTGACCGGTAAATTGAGAGCTTCGGCTTATGACTCAGCTCTTTCTTCACCACAACGGAGACCTCATTACTGGAAACTGGCACCGATCCGTCTGTCAACCTGCCGCAACATTTGCACATTTTTCCCTCACTCGTGAACAAGACCCCGAGATACTTAAACTGCTCCACTTGAGGGAGCAACCCGGACCCAACCCGGAGAGGGCAATCCACCTTTTTCCGACTGAAAAAGTTTCAGTTAATAAAAAATAAGATTTACTTCAGTGAAACTCTAATAAAATCCTGTGACAGAGCATCATGATGCGCAATTTGTTGTACATGAGTACAACACAAGCTTGGGCAGCGTCAACATGACTTTGACTTTAGTTCATTTAAACATTAATGTAAACTGCCAAGATTCATTTCCTAATACCACATCTTGTTAATTGACTGTAACATATAAAACTGGTGGCATGCCAGTTTACAGTTAAAGAAAATGGTCATGTGCTTTGTGTGATCTGGCACCTTTTTCACTTCACAAGAAGCTATTCACTATTACACATTATCTGCATATGGATGCTTTAATGTAAGTACTTGAAATGATATTATCTTTATGTGCATTTTGTGCCTTTAGTGTGGTTTTTTTTTCAAACCTTGACCCCAAGACATTGGCATTATGTGCCTGCATCTGCAGCTAAGCATGAGGGTGGAAATCCTTAGAATGTGGCTTCAACTTTACATCTTGAGGAAGCATTCTTTGGCATTGCTCCACACTTGTATTCCCTGCAGGAAGAGAGTAGGAATAAAATACTTTTATCATGAACATGATCACTAGAGTAGTCCTGTAACTTTCAGAGTGCTATGGTGTTCTTATGTACCTTTTTACACATGCTGATTTGCATGACAGCAAAGTTTATGAGTGCTTCTCGCAGGTCTTTGTCTTTCTGCTCCTTAAAGCGCTGCATGTCCACCCAGGCCCTTTCAACATGCTCTCTGCAGTGATAAACACCAAACACACTGAGTTCTCTTTCAATCAATGCAGGACATTTTCTGCTAACAGGTAAGGTTGCTTTCATACACATACACACACACTCTGGCAGCATTAGCCCGTGTCCACAACTCACTCGCACTCGACTGTCTTCTCTTTGACGGCCTCTTCGCCCTCTACTATTAGCTCTTCCAGGAGCTTCAGTCTGGCCTCCCTCTGTTCAGGTGCCTCTTGGCCAAAAAGCTTGTTGGTCATGCCTTTGAAGGAGAAGGTCCGCACTATCTGAAGAGGTGAAGGGGAAAATGTAGACACAAAACAGAAACACAAAAATGCTACAATTACAAGACCTAGATCCTCTGCAGTTTGACATCTACTGTAATACCAATTGCCAAAGAGTATTCCCCATTGTTAGGGCGATTTTCATTTTACGCACTTATGAATGGTTTTATTTTATAGCACACATAAGTTTACATATTTACAGTATATGTCATAGTTACGTTTACATAGTTACATATCACCCTATGTGTTCACTGAACCACTGGTCAATATTTACTGTGTTAGTCACTGAAGCACTGTTCAACATTATAGGGTCTTGTCCACTAAATCACTGAATCTCATTAGATTTACAGCTCTGGCTAAGAGAGTCCACAGTGAATTTATTATCACCACCGAGCTAGTGGAGCCAGGGAAGTTACGGTTCACTGGGACTCCAAGGTTAGTTAAACAGAGATGAGATCTGGAAGCTTGTGGAGGAGAAAGCTTCAAAGGTAGGAACATTATGCACACACACACACACACACACACACACACAGGCAGAACAGTTTTAATTAGTGAAACAGAAATCAATGCCTAATATGGAGCAGTTAGTTCGAAACAAAGGAAGAAGTGGGTGTGTATGTAGAAATTAAGACAGTATAGTTATTCTTCTCCTTCCAGACAGAGCGTTGGAGGACGGACAGGCTGAAGGACCAATAACAGGAGAGTTAAGTCTAAACCACGGCTTCTCCCCAACAGTTTTTGACCAATTAGACAGTAGCACCTTTTCATACAAATATTGTATACCGATGGGTTGAGGGCAGTCTTTTTCCCAAAACAGTGAAGATCCATGTGCACATGCTTATTTTGATACGTTAATGCATAATAAATTTCACACTGTGAAATATCCTTTTATTGGTCTGCTCTTTTCAAAATAAAAGAACAGGCCTCACACCATTCAGACAGGAGTTATTTCTCGAGAGGAGGTGGGGTGATTTTACTATTACCTTCCCTTCCACTCTGAGGGGAGACTTTGGATGTTCTCAATTGCCTTTGTCCTGATGAACACCCATCTATTACAAGGTGCATCCTGGAATTTTATGATGTTTAAAATCCTGACCAGAACAGTGAATAAAATTATAAGGAACCACAGGAATGTGCTAACACCCACCACCCTCTGTAATGTTCATCCTAACCTAATGGGGTTTTAAGAGTCAGGAGAGTGTGAGTGTAGTGTACCCCTGTAGCCAGCTCCTCGCGTTGCTGCTTCTTGGAGATGAGGTCCTGGGAGGCCATCTCAAGCTCAAACTGGGTCAGCTCATGTTTTCTGCACACTGCCCTGCCAAAGCAAAGTGTACAACATAATACCATGATCACCATGTACTCAAATATAAGCCTTTAAGACAGTGGAAGAACAAAAAGAGCCAGTATCTGTTAAGGAAAAGGAAAAAATCGTGTTTCCTTTAATTCTGTATAATATATGAACAACCATCGTGAGAGAGAAATAAAGAGAATTGAGATGGATACGTCTTCAGTATGATTTATTTCTGCAGAAAAAAGTAGTCTACAACAGCACTCAGCGAGGCATGTTACAGAGACTCAAAGAATAAAGGAAGATTCAGTTCAATGCAAAGCAGAGAATAATGTCACACATAAAAGGAGGATACACTGAGAAGAAATCATGTATCTGTGTTCAAAGAGTTTCTGATTTCCAAAACAGAGTGGTTCACATGAGATAATTTCAAGGTCTGTGGATGTTACAGCTGCTTCTTGCAGCAAACAAAGATACCTTAGGCATTCAGTGTGTCAGCAGAATTCACGTGTTCAGTGTGTGAAAGGTTACCACAGTTAGTTACCAGACTATAGCTTAATGTGAAAATGAACAATATAAATGGATATACTGATAAATGCCATTACAGTATCCATTAGGCACAGATGTTACAAGATGTCATAGATAACAGCTCTGTGAAACAGACATGTACATAGAATACTGCAGTGTGAGGATTCTAATCTTGTAGTGTGGGATTTGTTGGGGTTTTCTTCTATAATAATAATAATAACAATAATAATAATGATAATAATAATAATAATAGTACCTTGTAAAGTGTCCTGAGAAGAGTTTTGTTGTGATTTGGTGCTATACAAATAAAATTGAACTGAATAACCTATTCATCCATTTATAATACAGGTGTAAATATAGCCTTAGTAACATTTTCAACACTTCACTGGTAAGGGTGAGGAGATTCTTCCTTTGCTCTTTTGTTTTGTTCCAAGGTACAAAACAAAACATTTCATAAAACACACTAACATTTCAAATTATGGAAAAGGCAGGGACAACACTTCTTGCTTGTGACTGGATAGAACCAAGACAGTTCAGATTATATAGAAGTAAATCCCACTGATGTGTTGATGGGCCTTGGGGCCTCACTATACATTAGTAGACCAGCTTAATGTTTTCCTTCCCACAGTTTAAGTAATAGGCAGTGAGAAAAACATCTACACTCAGTACTGTCACAGTCTGTTGTTTTATCCCTCTCATTGTCACACAAACTTTAATTTACTTAATGCTAATCACTTCTATTGGCCAAGTATGTCACACACACAGAATCTGTCTCTGGTACAGAACCGAGGAAGCCATCTGCAGCACCAGCTCACATACACACACCGATTGTCCCTGCAAGGCGCTGCTCTGGCCATCAGGAGCAACTTGGGGTTCAGTGTCTTGCCCAAGGACATAGGCTAGGAAGAACAGGAATTGAACCACCCACCTTCCATTTGGGGGATGACCACTCTACCTCCTGAGGCACAGCCGCACCAATTCTCAAAGTGTTTATTGAGTTTAATGCTCATAAAAGAACATTTCACCACACTGTCTGCCAGTCTTGGTGGAAAAACTCACTTGAAGCACTAGAGTCAGATGCAGTAAGTTTTACTGCAATAAAGTCAGCACACACTCTTGAGCCATTCCCAGGAGCAGCTGACCTCTGTGCTGTCACACATACTGTACATTTCTATGCCTTCAGTTACACCCCGAGTGTAGCAATCCAAAGGAATTCACACCCACTGTTTTCTCATCTTACACAATAATTTCATTATCTTCATGACCTGAGGCTACGCTCCTTTAGGGCACCATGACCCAGGGCACCGTGTACCAAAACCTTCTGCACATACTTCTCTGTCTGGCTTTTGTATTTTATTGGTACAGCTCCCATGCAGCTGATCTTTAATGCAGACATTTCTTTGGTACTCAGTGATTTCACATCCAGTACAGTATATTATGATTGCTTCGTTCCGATGGTAAGGACACATTTGACTTAATAAAAATAAATGAGCATTCATGGTAAGGACAAAATTATTAGTGGTGTAAATCACCAGTCTCGATGTTTGCCAATACTTAAAAATATGCCACAATGCAATTTTGATTTGATTCGATTCAGGGGCCTACAACTGATATTGTAATTTCACATAATTACATTTTATTAACTGAAATGCAACAAAAGTATAATTTTTAAATTTTATTGAGCTCCTCTGTTCACTTTTAAGATGTATTTAAACATATATGAGTAGCCATGATGACCTTCCAATTCAACCTTTGAGATATGAAGCATTTACACTATCACACATACAACAAAGCTGGAAAAACATATTTCCTACATTGCAGTAGGAATTTTGTTTACAACTTAACATTCACATTTATTGTTGTGTTTCCTTTTTAATCCAAAATAGTTCCATATCTGCAACTTGTTTCTGATGGTTTACTTTATCTGTGTATTTTTCTTGGCTGCTACAGGTCAAGGCCAATTCTCACAGAAAGTGTTTTGTCACTTGCTCCTCTCACGCAACAGACAGAACACCAATCTATCAAACGAGTCAGTCCACAACGACTCAGATACCACATTTAGACTTGCCCTTTAAAATGTGTCCTGGGTGATCAGATCACAAATGGACAGCCAAAGACATGTGTGAGACATGAGTCACCCTGTTTACACTTTGCATCAATGTCATCAGATTGCGGAGTGTTTGACTGCTAGATCGATCCAGATTGTTTCACCTCCAATAATTATAAAGTATATGTATTAATGTTTCCCCACATCCTTCTGTTTCTCATAGTGCTCACAGATCTCCACTGATTGCCTGCCCCACTATGATCTCATAGGTGACCATTCAATTCAGTACACATGACACCTTGATGTCTGGTTCAATTCTCTACCAGGTACCATTGTTGGCTGTGTACATAAGAAGATAGAATAGTTTGAAATCACAAAGAGATGGCATGTTTCAATGGGGTTGTCGTACAACAGAACGACAACCCTCAGTGCAATACCTGTAAATATACTTTTGTATACATCTGGAAAAATTCATCTAAACTGTGTATATACATGTCTATACTTATAGGTACTTTATTTTTATCTTCTTAATGCACATTTTTCTTGTTTGGACATTCTTTTTCTTTCTTTTTTGTTCTCCCAGCTTGACCTTGTTTACTTGTCTACTCATTGCTTTGCAGAGGAACATTGTACACAGACGCTGACACAATGTACCAGAGTCAAATTCCTCGTGTGTCCAACACACCTGACGAATAAAGCTGATTCTGATTTAATTCAATCAGTCACTAAGAGAGCCTGACTTTGACTGTTAACATAAATAATAACTCAGTCAGTGCTTAATTAACATCAAAGCTTATCAGATGTTACACTCTCAATACCTCTTTTTGAAGAATATGCTACAATGAAATATGTCTTGTAGCTTTACAGCAGGGTAGTACATAGGCATGAACTGGTGGAAAGACCAGTGGTGTGCTATGCAAAGTCAGCAGTACCAACCCCTCATACCAGGTAAAAATATCTTACCTCAGAGCCTCAGCATAGAAGAGATATTCTTTGAGTTGGTCTGCATAATGTTCCTCTTCTTCTAAGATATCATCTATTGAGGCAGCATATCTGCAGGTATGTGACAAAAGCAACAAGTAACACAGCTGGTAGTTGGAGTATAGTGTTTGTGCAATACAGAAGTGTTTTTTGTTGAGGAGCTGAGTAAGAGGCATGACTAAAATAAATGGGATTTGCCCAGAGTTGCAAATCCAGCTAAATACTCACGCATCCATATGATGACCAGCACTTTGCAGTCCATCTCCCATCTCTCTCTCTATAGCACTCCACTCACTGCAGTGAACACATGGATGCATGCACACAAACACACACAGAGAAATTAGCAATGAGAGTCTGTCATACACACGGTTACCCTTCAAGAAAAACTGTCAAAAAGAAACAGCAGCACACAGTTTTACTCTTCTTTTAGTTGGTTCCTTATCTACACTGAGGATCTAAGGATAGAAGGTCTGGAAACACTGTAAAGTCCTTTGAGGCAAAACTGTGCTTTGTGATCTTCACTATATAGGGGACCCCTGATAGTTGAATGGTTACACTGTGGCACACCATATACACAAGGAGACAAGTCAGCATAGGCACACAGAGTTGTCTGAATGAGTTTAGTCTAAACATCACAATTAATCAAGTTGTAAAGAAGATTTAAGCAGGAAAGGAGAACTTGGGAGGGTTTGCCCTGATAACCCCTCAGACAATATATAAGCAGTTGTCTGTTTATCTTCCCGGTATATGGCAGAAACATTTTATGGCTGGCTCCTTTAATTCTGGAACGACATCTGGTTGAACATATAACAACACACAGAGTACCAAAACAAAGATAAAACATGTCCTTCAGCTCACACAAGCAGTTACTCACAGGTCCCTGTGGTCTTTGGTCTATTCTGAAAGTTTAAAATCCATTGAATAACATATGTTGGTTAATATATTGATTAAAACACAGTTTAAAACATACTTAATAATGTAATTTTCATGACAACTGTCCATCTCTCCGTGACCAGCTTACCCCATAAAATAATAATAATCAGACTGGGCTTTTTACCCCCCTGCTTTTCTGTGTTGTTGCAATGCAAACAAAAGAAATAAACCTAAGAATACCTAAGAAATTTTGATTGCAACAATTTTCTGGGACAGAAATGCAGAGTGCCAATATTTTTGTTGGCCTTTATAATGGCTTTGGCATTTTAGTTTGGCCATAGTCATATGTTTTATGTATTTGACCTGCCCATTATCAATTGTTGTTTAATGTGTTATCATGATGACTAATGGTCATATTTTATCAAGTGATTACTGCTCAGGATTGACTGACTGATGATTTTGGCTGCCTCAATGCATGCATACATGCATGTTTTTATTATACACAATGCAATGTATTGTGTATAGAAAAAACATTTCAAATGTATTGGCATTTAAATTACAACTATGTTGATATTTGTTATTATTATCAACACACTGATCATCATCACCATCTCAGGTCAGTTTTTAAGTCATGCTTAAAAACATTTTCATAAGCTTGTAGTCAAACCTGAAGACTCTTCCATAGTTCCCATGGACCTTATAAACACCGTAGAGTCGATCAGCCACCTTCTAGAAGAGACAAAGAAAATGGATGAAAATGAGTGTTAAAACAATAAAAAAAAAATATATAGAATAGTAACTTGTGATCTACAGTGAGAGGCTGCTGGTCTGAGGCTGACACACAGAGACAGACAACCACTCTAATCAATTAACCCAAACTGCAGGTCTTTGGACTGTGGGAGGAAACAGGAGTACTCAAAAGAAACCCACACAGGCACAGGGAGAACATGCAAACTCTACACAGAAAGGCCCCAGTCAGCCAAAAGGTCGGAACTCACAACCTTCTTATTTTTATAATAACAAGGTATCAAATGACAATGTGAAATGTGTGAAAGAGGTGACAGTTGGTGATAAACCTACAGAGAACAAGCTGAACCTGCAGTTCCCCACTGCTTTATAGTGAGTTTCAACTCATAACCACAACTTTACTTTAATGGTTCACTCTCACAGCTCTCATAGCGTTTTCAGAGAATGTCATACCAACATAAAATTTGATGCCAAAGTTGTGTCCATGGGTTGTATCTGCTGCCTCCAAGTGGCCAGAAAAATCAATTATTGCAGGCTTAAAGATTAAAAAAAACAAACAAAAAAAACATATTTTAAAGATTTTAAGCAAACATGAATTTAATGTATGTGTGTGAGAGAAAGACAAGTAGATGTGGAAAGACTTACTGCTCTTGCTCGGAGTAGCTGAGATGCATGAGACTGCAGCTCATCACTGTACTGTTTCATCTCCATGAAGCGTCTGTGTGAGAGGAAATGAAGACATTCATAAGTGAAAGGATGAAATTTGAAAAGTGAAATAAAACAGGACACAAGAATTAAGGGCACAGCACACAGGTGGTGTCATGTCATGGCTTGTCTTGTGACGTGGATCACATGACTCCCCTAACACCACCGGGAGCGGCGCGAATTCAGTGTGGGACTACCGAAATGGCTGACTACTTTTATACTTTTGACACATCAACACTGGAAAAATAGGACAATAGCGTATCCTTGATGCACATCAACCCACAATGACTCATGTCACACCCCGCCTGTGTGTGGTCTCCTTTACAACAACACAGCAATTAAAATGGCTTGCTTTCTACATTATCATTTGAAAGTGAATATAAATGTTTTTCCTTTTGATCTGATGAATCTAGAGATGCAAAAAATGTTGTTTACTATTTTCTTTCATCATAATAGTAGATTAATAATCACTTTTTGTGCCAAAATTTTAAACATTTGATGGTCCCAGGAATTCACTCCTTTTAAGGTCTCGCATTATAGTATGCTGGATATTTTTGGATGGTTATGACATCAAGCTGGGAGAACAAACAGTTCCATTACTTTGACATTAATGATAATGTTTGACAACAAAACCACACCTATGTTTAGAAAACACCAACTTACTTATCTGGATTTCTCACCCTAAAGGTGGCACTCAGAGCTCTCAGCCAGGAGTCTGCCTATAACAGGAGTTAACAGGAGGTGATCAAGCTTTACGAACACTGAAAAGATCTGTATAAAATACGGAAATAAAATCTACACAAATGTCCAAATACCTTTGCCTGAAATCCTGTCTCATACACCACTTCCTTCCAGCCCTGTTCCTGTTGTGGAAAAACGAGAGACCAGTAAGAGGGGGACAAAGAGGAATGAGTACAGATCTATAAATGAACACTTGAACTGCTGGACTGACACTGAGCTGCACCATGTACCTCAGTGAGGAAGTGGTAAAGGATCTTGTCATTAGAGAGGACAGGGTGGGAAGCCACACGAAGCAGAAAGTTCTCCAGCCCAACTCTACGGCGCTCCACAAAGTCTGGGTCCATGTTGTCTGCTGACAGTTTGTGCCACACAAACTCTGCCTACATGCATGAGAGTAAAACATTCACATTTGTCACTTAGGTTTTTTGGGACACTTTTTAAGCTTGTTTTTTTTTTTCTTTTTCTTTTAGTTTATCTGTTCCTGAAGAAGCTTATTTCAGTGTTTCTCTACAATATAATATAAACAAGCTTTAAGAGGTTCCCAGATAAATAATATCCACCCCTACTTAATTTTGTTGTTGCACTTAGTTTGGGAGTTGCACTATAAATTGGTAAAAATGTAGACATACAATTTAGTTACTTTGTAACTGAAGTATGATAAAAGTTCAGTCAAGTTGAAATAAAACTTGAAATTTACAGCTTCTCCAAGAAGTTCACTATTAATTATTATCAAAACTGTCAGAATGATGAGAGACCGATAATAGATAGAGCAGGATGAAATGGGGATGTCTTCAAATGTCTGATTTTGTCTGACCATCAGAACAGAAGGATGTTCAGTTTACTTTCAAGAACAACACCAAATCCTCACATTTCTGAAGCTGGAATGAGCAAATGGTTGTTTGTTAAAAATGGAAAAAACTATTATCAGTATAGTTGCCAATGAATTGATCAATTGACTGATTAACTAATCACTGCAGTTCTAGTTGCAGTCTCCTGATTTGGGAGTTTGTTTGTTATAGACATTTTTACTTTTATGGGTATATCTATATGCGATACAGTAATCTTCACCATAATAAAAGGAATTTTAGCATCACAGAACCAATAATTAAATCTTTGCTGTATTAATAACTAATGAAGTAGTTTACAACAGTATGTATGACTTATTTGGGGCCTTCATTTAGCAGAGGTTAGCTGTGATATCTCAACCTACTAATGCTTGTCCATAGCATAATTACAGGTCTCAAATCAAATCAAATCAAATTTTATTTGTATAGCGCCAAATCACAACAAAAGTCATCACAGGACACTTTACAAAGTAAGGTCTGTCACTGAATTCGGATTTTCAGAGTAGACTCACTAGACTTCCATTCCCCAGTTTGTTTATCTATCCCACATTAAACTCCTGTCTTACCTAAAAGACTCAAGTGAATCCAACACAGCAAGTTAAAGTAAGTGAGGACTGATCATAGCTCAGTTTTAAAATTCTAGTGCTGAGCATCTGGTTGCTAAACACTGGACGGTAGGGTTAGAGCAGTATACTGGTTTCACAGCATACCATGGTATGAAAATTGATGGTTATCATACCAATCACATATGCTTATTACCAGTATTGAAGGAAAAAATGCAATGCGTGCACACATTTCTTCCCCAACTGCCTGTCAGACTCTGCAACAGGCACCACACGCACACATGAAGCAGACAATTGGCAGCGAGAAGGACGCTGATAGTATATCACTAAACTCCATCCACCAAAAAAGACATTTAAATCAGCTCACAGGGTTGAGAGTTACTTTGGATATCTCAAAAACAAACACCTTCAAAACCACCATCTCTCTGTACATGTCTAAGTATGTGTCCTGTTTATAAACAATAAATGTTAGTTATAAAAGGTGGTATCAAAATAAATTTTCACATTGTCTGTTTGTTTGCTGATCTCTGACTTACCAAAGGATGCGCGCTGATTCAGATCTGGCCCAGCAAACGCACAAAGTCTCCCGTCTCACAATAATTGAGTATGTGTACGTTCATGAGTGAGTGAAGGTGCAGACAGGTCTGGCTGTGCTGTAACACACCTACGATAAGTTAACAACTATTTTGATAAATCATTTAGAGCACTGTGACGGCACGTCTCACTATTGTCAGAAGTTTTACAAACAAGTCAGTCGATTAATGAAGAAAATAATCTGCATATTAATCCGTACTGAAAACAATCATTAGTTGCACTTGGCTACAAACTAGTTCAGCAGAGCTTCACCTCAACCAACTACAACAGTCAAATGCTGCTTTTACATCAGTACATGACTGACAGGCTATTAATGTAATAATATAATATACTGTATAGTATAACATTTTTCTGCACTGAGTAGCCTACTAATTCTTTTAATACTTAAAACCTACTTTTATTACTATTATTAACACAGGACTTTTTGTAACAGACTTTAGGCTCCTTTTACAGTGTGATATTAGTACTTTTACTTAAGAAAATGTAGTGAATACTCCCTCTACTACTGGTGCTAACGTGCAAACATGTTAAAGTTATATGCTGTTTTTGAATCATCTTTATAACTCTGCTTATTCTTTAGGGTCAATCTAGCACTGTAATGCTGCTTAATCAACTGGCACAGGCACCTCATTCTTCTGAGGGTCGTTGTAGCTGATAATAATAGTAATTGTGTAATACCGTGAAACCGTGATATTTTCTGACACGGTTATCATAATGGGAAAATCTTATACTGTTGCAACCTTAATGGATGGTAGCAGAGAAGGTTGTACCAGTCTCTGTTTCTGAAATTGTTTAACTGATTTTACTGAAACTCAGCACTGGAGCAGTCAGCTGACAGTGTGCTGTTCAGTGTCACACTGCCCTTCCTTTCCATCACCCATTGAAAGGCAGCCCTGTGAATCTGACATTCCTTGCATGGATCTGTTAGGTATTTTTAGTCAGATAGATATTGGTTAGATACTTTATGTATTAGAAATGTTTAGTGGAGATAGGATGTATAGTTAGACTGTTAAATGCTTAGGCCTGCTTATGAGTTTCTACAGGGTACATCTGGTCAAGGATAACTAGAGAGAAGAGTTGATGACTGTCAGCAGACAGGGTGTTTAATATTATTATTATGACGTGTATAACTGTAGCCTTAGCCATAATATGAAGTCTGTGAGACACGACATGTACTAGAAGTCTGTGAGAATGTTTTTAGTTACACACCACTTAACCAACAGACACACACACACACACACGTTGATTTGCTTCATGTTTTGACTACTGCTATGGCCAGCTGCAAAGCTGGCAACAGAGATGTCTCGGTTGATGTTTCTGTGTAGTATGGGGCTAGCCCAACCGAGGGGATATAATGTATAGGCCTGGTGGGCTCAGGGTCTTTCATCTTACATCTGCCTGTGAGCAGTTTGGAGGTGCAAGATACCTGAGCGTGTAATGTTAATTTTACCTGTGATCCTTTGAATAAATCAGCACTGTTTTGAAGTTACGTGGACTGTCTCGTCTCTCAGAGTTAGCAATGGTAAGAAGAACCATATCCTACAGATCCGAGTATCACTAAACAGGGTTTGGAAAGCAGAGCGCACTGAACTCACCCTCTTCTCAGGCAGAGGGGGCACCACGATGTATGGATAGGTAACTATTAGGTAGTTCCGCAGGAGTTCAAATTCACTGTATCGTCTCCACAGAGAGTCAGGGGCTGGGTTCCGACCATCAGCAACTGCATCCATTGGCCTTTAAAGATGGAGCCACAGGAGAATTTGGTTAAGTTGCTTTTACACCGAGACATATGACATAAGGAAATTCATGCAAACACAGCACTCAAAAACAGGAAACATAGATGAATACCTATGAAACACCTCTGTTCAATCCATAGCACCTCCTTTGAGAAGGGGGATGTTAATCTCACCGTGTTTCAATGAGGTACACGGTGAACGTTTCCTGCATGTTCACTGCGTTTTTGCCACTCCTTTTCTCAGCCTCAGCAACACAGATCTCCATCCTGCCCAGGAGAGTGCAGCCCTCTTCCACCATCTGAACCATTACAATGCAAGAAGTCATCAACAACCTCTGTCTGAAGACATTTGGTCATTATTCCCACCCATCTGCTCGTTCGTGGCTTTTCTTGTAAAGCTAGTAAAGTTAGCTATCAGCTGTCCATGTAAACTACATGCTAATTTGCATTAAAAAATCATGACCCCAGTGTCCATTCTGACAAGAACTATTTAAATGAGGAACACATTACAGGAATTGTGCCTAAGTATCGTGTAGAATAATATGTGTAGTTAATGTTAGCCCTGCTGTGAACTTCGAGCAGCTAGCCAACATGGAACACGATGTAACGTGAACAGTGTTAGCCCGCTGCTATGAGTAACGTTATGTAAGTGCTGTTTAAAATATAGAACAGGAAGGGGAGGCTACTGTTTTACCGTGTTGTTTAAGCTCCCGTCGACAGCCATGTTTTCTGAATCGTCGTCAGTACCCACCAGCTCTTCTCTCCCATCCTCCGACATTTTTTCCTCCTGATGTGTTTGGTGAGCCAGGACGCATGCGCACAGCGTCATATGGTCCAACAGATGCCTAGGACAAGCATAGAAGCTATGTACACAACTTTAAATTATGAATATTTATTATCAGGGCATCTTTGTCAGGAGAATTCCCTTTCCCAGGAAAGGCCACTTTTTTTAAACACACATTTTGTGCATTTTGCATTTTTTTCTTAATTTAAAATGCCTAGATTGTAACTGCTATAAGTCCCTTTTTTAAACACACATTTTGTGCATTTTGCATTTTTTTTTCTTAATTTAAAATGCCCAGATTGTAACTGCTATAAGTCTCTGACTGTAAATCTCCTGTAGGTTCTGTGTTCTGCCTGTACTGTAGGCCTACTGCAACCCTGCAAAAAGTTGCTGTGCATTACAATGACTGGACAGATGTATGGAAGATAGAAAAAATAAAGCATATTTTTAATAAATAATTTATAAATGACCTTATTATTGATAAGCTTGAAGCTCAACTGGGAGTGAGTGCACAATTATCCACCATAGTTGAGAATTTGTAAACATTAAGTTAAATATTTTTGGAATGGTTCTTTCAATTTGTGGAACTATGCTATGATTTGTCATTGGTCATCCTGGTTGATGTCATCAAAGTGTCATCATAAATCAATTAATTTAAAATAGTTTAATCTTAGGAGAACAGCACAGTACAATAACATAACATTACATTCAAGTGATAAGTGAGTAAATTAGATTTTGAAGCCAAAGGTCAGACCGTACACAGTGAAAACACTGATATCAGGATAAGACTGGTTTCACTCCCCTGATCAACACAGAACACAGTCAGTGTGAGCAAATGAGTTTAGCAAATGAAGACAGTGGCATCCACAGAAAATACACTTTACAGTTGTGTCAAATATCTACCAGCAGACATGTGGTACCAATAATGGAGGTCTGTTGCTGGCTTTATACACAGAAAATGGGCTATATTAATCAGCAAGTCGTGGTTAACAGTGTTAGAGATCAGTGAATAATGTCACTTGTTTGATAGATTTGTCTCAATATACAGTTCTGTTATGTCTATGTTATGTCTAGTCTTTGACATCATCTCAATTAAAGCACATAACTGAGTTTAACTACAGGATGGGCCACGGAAAAGTAGTCCGTGCAAGCAGATTGTTTTGGAGGCGGGCTACTTTTCCATGGTCCACCCAGTATATGCTTGTAAAGTGGCCATAATGTTAATGTTAGTCATAATGCTGTGATTGGAGAATAACGTAGGGCTAAGAGGCTATTATGAAGACACTTTTTGACATGGTTGAACTGGGTGAGCATTCTGTTGATGATGTTCCTGAACTCCTGGGGTGTGTTGATAGCACATACCTTATTTCTCACTAAAGTACAAATGTTATGTCAGTGTTAGCACTGTTATAGCTATAGCAACAACCATTAGCCACCACATTACCTACAACCACAGTCATGGCAAAAACTACAGCTACAGTAACAGATTGGCTAAAACCACAGCTCTGACTGTGTCCCCTTGATTGTGGTCATAGCCAGTCCAATGTAAGATCAAGGAATATAGCAAGATAACTGCTGTTTATAACAAGGAAAACAGATACGCCATCTCAGGTAAGATTATTTATATTTAGAAACATGGCCGGAAATCCTTCGATATGGCTGCCAGAAGCCGCATCATGTCACCTAATAGTCATTATATGGTGCATGGGGATATCACACAACTGTAAAAATTAACAAACATCATCAAAAGAATAAACAGACAGAGAAAGTTACTTGCTGAGAAACAAAAAGCTCCTGATTTAGTTAACTCCATTGGAAAGAGGATACCACTTTTAAGTACTTTTTTAAACAAATGGCTACTTAGGGTTGTAGTTAGACTGTCAGACTGAACACATTTCTGTGCTGTGTGTTAAAACACATCCATGCTCCTGAGTGAGTTGCATCTCTGCCTTCCAGAGAATTAATTAAAATATAATACACTTTGTGCTTCCTGAAATGTTTGAAGTTCGGAACATTCATGCTTATTTGTTCAGTTTTTTAACCCCTCATCAATCCACTAGCTGCTCCCAGAGAGAGTAGACATTTGATTAGATCATTGTCAAAGTGCAAGTCCTAAATCTTTTTACTGCTGGGCATAGCTATGAGGCTCATCCTGTGAGCCCACAAAGAAGGACACTTGGTGTGGAGAGGTGGGGCCAATGTGAGGATGACGGTAGTGGTTAGACGAGGAAGAGGTAGATTCAGGACTCTCCCAGTAGTTGCTGTGGAGGTCTAGGGAGGAAAGAGCAGGCAGGTCGTCTCTCTGCATGGGTCTGTCACACTCCGTATGTAGAGGTGGTGCGCTCAGGCATTTCCTTAGGCATGGTTCACTGTAAAGTCATTTATACACATTTAGGAGTTTGTTTCACTTAGTTATATACTGGGTTGACAGAAAAAAACTATACATTTAGTAAAATGTTTATTTGTACTGACCCATCCTTGACACTCAATAAATAAACCTTTGTAAGAATGAAAATGACTGATTCCAAAGACTGGACAGTTGTTTGAAAATGACACTGCACAGAAAATCTGTCACCTGTGGGAGGTGGTTGGTTCTCCTTTCCATGTTTGTCGGTACACATCACCTGCCACCCCAAACAGCCAGCGCACATCAGCTGGCACCTCTGGGATCCACTCCACAAACCTGGAGCAGAGCAGAAATGATATTAGATACACAGGCAGCTTGGTTCCACACCTGACTCCACGATTGTAGGCCTCATCACAGATGGCGACAGGGAGTACAGACAACTGATTCAGGACTTTGTGGACTGGTGTCTGCAGAACCAACTTCAGATCAACACGGAGAAGACCAAAGAGCTGGTGGTGGATTTCCGCAGGTGCAGACACACCCCTCTGACACCAGTGAACATCCAGGGAATGGATATTGAGAGAGTGGACTCTTATTAGTACCTGGGTGTTCACCTCAACAATGCATTCGACTGGTCATACAACACAGATGGACTTTATATGAGAGGCCAGAGCAGGCTCTACCTGCTGAGACTAAGGTCATTTGGAGTGCAGGGGACACTCCTAAGGAAGTCCTTTGATGCAGCAGTGGCATCAGCCATCTTCTATGGAGTGGTCTCCTTGGGGAGCAGCATCACTATTGCAGACAGGAAGAGATTAGACAAACTTGTCAAGTGGGCCAGCTCTGTCCTGGGAAGTCCCCTTGACCCAGTGCAGGTGGTGGCTGACAGAGGGATGTGAGCCAAGCTAGCATCCCTGCAGGAGAAGGACTCCCACCCCAAGGATGAGACTCTGACAGCACTGGGTAGCTCCAAGAGTGACAGGCTGCTCCATCCCAAGTGCATGATCGAGGGTTATTGAAGGTCATTCCTTCCTGTTGCTGTCAGGCTGTATACCCAGCACTGGTCCCAGTAGACTCGTGCAACTACAGTATATGCAAATATTAGTTTTACTTTTTATTATATGTTATATTGACAATATCTTGTTTGTAACTTTTTCTGCTTTTACCACTGAGTGCCTTGTTTCTATCCCCTGGCTGATGTAGCCTTGTGAATTTCTCCGTTGTAGGACTAATAAAGGTTCATCTTATCTTATCTTGCCACAAGATGGCTGGAAATAAGTTTGAGGTGCAGAACTCTTTTTCTTAAAGGTGAGATACTGTCACTGATAAGACCTACACCTTACCTCTGGGCTGCTGAGTAGGCTGACTGTACAGGAAGTGTGTATGGCATGAGCATATAGGAAGCCACTCTCACTGGCAACATCTCTGATACCTTTGCATACAGGCCAGGTTTGTCTTGGCAGGCCTCACAGAACACTGATAGACACAGAGAACACAGAACATGTTTATGTGAGAATTCACAACCAAGTTTAAAGAAGCATTACATAAACTCGACTAAAAATCAGTGCAATCTGATTCTGATTCTTAATCTTCACTATTAAAAGCCAACAGTCTGAGATGATCTTCACCTTTCTTAAGTGTCGTAGGCAGAAAGATGTGTTCATCCAGCCACCAGTGTGGTTTACGCAGTAGGCGAAGTCTCCGGAGCACCCACTCTTTAGTTGTTTCAGTAGGCTTGCAGCAGCAATTGGCAGAGTTCTCGGGCATGGCTGGGCCAGAGGTTGGATACTCCAGCATCAACAGGTCTGGTACCACAATGACAGTCCAGAAGTTGTAGTAAGCTAGAGCCTCATAGGGATGCATCACAACTAGGTAACTTTATCTGAGCTTCACTGTAGAGTACTTACTGTTCTCTTCAAGGAAGCGTAGAGCATCCTTATACCCGCTCTGGCACATCTCAGCTAGCACCTGTGGAAAGGAAGCGGTACATCTTATATAATCTACAGGAAAAATAAAAAAAGGTTTTTTCAAAACTTGTATTGCCTTCACATTATTCATTTTATTTTTAAGTTTGTACATTTTGTCTTTTATACCATTTAATGTTGTACAGTGTTGTGTGATGACCAGGATGCAACCAAAACTCCTTGGTTTCATAATGAAGTTGTTCATAATTCAAAGTGTAGCTGGAGCTTTGACCCTTTAGGGCTTCCATTCTCCCCTATCTACAGTACTCTAACTACTGTCAAAGAGACTATTTGTGAAACTTTAATTTTAAGAATTCACTCTTAACAGCAGAAACCTTTCTGCTATCGATTTTCTAAATTAAGAAGAGTCTGTGCATCAGTTACAAAGGGGACCCAGGACGTGGTTATCCTAGCTTAGCATAAAGACTGTAAGCAGGGGGAAACAGCTAGCTTGGTTTTATCAAATGTAAAAAAAAATGCCAGCACATCTAAGCATCTTATATTAACATCTTTATCATGTTTGTTTAAATACATTTATACAATTACTATGTCATAATTAAACATGTTAAAAGCACAATTATTTTTAACATCAAGAGTAGAAGTGTGTTGCATTTCACTGTTGTCTAGCACAGATCAATGAAAGATTTAAAATGCATAAAATAGCTATGATGGGCAACGGAAGGCACATCTTCACTTTGTTCCTGTGTTGATGTGATTTTAATGTAGCACAGAAAAGTTAAGACAAAAAATAACAAGCTAACAATGTCCTTGTAATAGTAGCCTATGTACTGTATAGTATTTCTCTTTGTTTCTTTGGTAATGTTTTTAGGCATTTTAAATCTTCCTCATCATACTGAACACACGCATATAGTGATAACCTTTTCATTTCATCTTGGCAAAAAACAAACAAACAAGAAAGCTCATTTCCCAAAATATCAAATAATTTATTTAACAAAGACATCAAATACTCTGCCATACTGCTGTAAGTTTTCATAATGTCATATTGATCTCTTTTTACACCACTAATAATCTATCAGGTTTACCACACCAGACAGGACCCCAGGTGCAGATTGGCAAAGAGGCCACAGAGATAGCCAAGTGGCTGGCATCATGTACAGAAAGATCTGTATGGGTTAGACCCTCCCAGGTCCAGATAGGAGACTCCTCAGAATGTCATGGAGAATAACAGGACAAAGATCCTCTGGGACATCCAGATCCAGAGGGACAGGAAGGTACTGGCCAACCAACCAGAGATTGTGGTAATAGACAAGGAACAGAAGGCAGCAATGATGATAGGTGTAGCACTCCCAAGTGACATCAACATCAAGAAGGAGTATGACAAGCTGAAGAGGTACCAGTGACTGAAAGAAGAACTGCAGAGGTTGTAGAAAGTGAAGACCAAAGTATTCCCAGTGGTGGTAGGAGCACTTGAGTTTGTGACTGCTGCTAAACTGGAAGAATGGCTCCAACAGATCCCAGGAAGGAACAACATCAGAGCTGTCTATGTGGAGGAGTGCAGTGATAAGTATAACAAAGATACTACAAAGAACCCACAAACTCCCAGGCCTCTAGTAGAGGACCTGAGGTTGAGGAAGACACACACCACCCATAGGGGTGAGAAGGAAATTTTACACACGTGTGTGTGTGTGTGTGTGTGTGTGTGTGTATCAGTGGTG